CCCTTGACCCCCACCCCTCAGATATTTCTCTACGTTCATAAATCCCCTCTCAGCCATCTCCTTTCCAGGCTGAACAGCCCCAGGTCTCTCAGTCTCTCTTCCCAGCAGAGATGTTCAGTCCCTTGATCCCCCTCGTAGCTCTCCCTTAGACTCTCTCCAGTAGGTCCCTGTCTCTCTGGAACTGGGGAGCCCCAAACTGGACCCAGGATTCCAGGGGTGGTCTCCCCAGGGCAGAGCAGAGGGGCAGGAGAACCTGCCGAGTCTGTGTGGCAGCACAAGTGCTTCTCTGAACCAGCACTGCTTCAGACAGGTCCTAAGAAAGGGTTAAAAAAGGCAAATGGGATCTGAAAGGGTGAAGCACCCCTGACATTTAAAATAGAGGTCAGCCAGGCACTGCTCACCACAAGGCAGCCTCCGCAGGGCTACAAAGGTGCTCAGCACCGAGGCAGATTTAAATAACATTGGGAAAAGCACAAAGATAGGAGCCGCACGCTGTCATTAGCAAAAAAAAAAAAACATAATAAAACTTGTTGAAGAACAGGGAACTATTTCCACAGCTTAGGAACAGCTCTTCAACAGCAACAGGATGAGGCATGTGAATTTAAAATAAAATTTAATTTCTTTGTTGTTCAGGCTCTCAGGTGGCTCTGCAACCAAAGCAAGCCATTACTCACAACACAGCTAAAAAAAGACCTAAAAATAAAACAAAAACAATGGGGCGCAACAAATATTAAATCCCAGAAGTGAAAGCTTCTCTTTTAGCCGTTCACAGGCAGTCAACCAGAAAACAAATGACTAATCTGAAAACAGTCTGAGGCAAGAGCATATGAAAACCTCATTTCACACCATCATAATTCAAAACATAACTTTGCTTTAAAATAAATTACACCGCATCTTTAATATCTTTTTAGGATACACTGTACTGCTTGCCTGCAAAAATAGAATAATGCGTAGCACACGAGAGTTTATGGTCTGGAGTTTTGCAAAACAGAGGCTACTCTCTCCTGAAGCAATAGTGCAAACATTTATTTTAAAAATAGATTAGCATGCCTTTTTGATTGAAACTACCTTATTTATTTCCTAGAGAAGAAAAATGAGTCAGCCAAAATAGCATCCAAATAACATTTTAATTTGCTCAGATCGCACTCAGCTAAAATTCCCTGCAACAAGAAGAAAAAAAAAAAAAGTTACAAGTTACACAAGAAAATATCAAAGTTTTCTACATATGACCTAAAACTCCTTGGGCAACAGAAAGAAGGAATTGTACAAGGCTTGGTAAAAATGCAGATGTGGTGATCCAAGACAGTTGTTACCACAACCGACTTGGCAAAACTGTTATTTTCTTTTTGCAACATACTGCTTGGGTACGAGACCACTGACCACACTAAACCCAGCACGTGAACAGGCCCTGCAGTTCGGTGGGGCTCACAGATAATGACAGCTTCCACTGCTGACATTTAGTCCTACTGCAAATTCTCAAAAGCAAGTCTTTTGCTGGTTGGTTTTACAATTCCAAAATGAAGTCAGGCATCTGGATGTTTAATAATACTTGTTTCTGCTTGTTTCATGGCACATCAAGAGCTCTGTCGGGCAGCGGAAACCAGGGTGGCTGCTCCTTGTTTGTTCCTTCTCCTGTGCATCGAGTTGGACACCCAGAGATAAGTTGGACACCGGAGATAAGTATCCTCCCTGAATCCCATCACGGTCATTCAGGGAGCTGGAAGGTCCCCACAGCCATGGGCAAAGGGATTTCACCCCAGAGAGCTGTGGGCTGGGCCCCACACGAGCTCTTGGCACCAACACTTGTCCTGCAGTGGCCACAACGCTGGTGGTGGCCAATGTCACCGGCAGGTGGGTGGCACAGTTGGCCTAGGAGGGAGAAATGGGATGGGCAGCCCTGGCAGGAGCCTGGGAAAACAGGAAGAAGGGGAGGCAGGGGAGGTCTGAGGTGGTGGAAGGTGGCTGCTTGGGTTGTTGATTCTTCCCTCTTTGACAGTTACAACCCTGGATATGGATAAAACCAGACCAGAGCCTGCGCTGCTCTGCCAGAAAATGCTGCACCTTTCTAAAAGAACATAAATCTGAGGATAAAAAAAAAAAAACCGACACAAAACCAACCAAAACCCACAGCCCCAGCCTGTACAGCATCATTGACCGACATGCAACTCAAAGCTCAGGATAACTGAGGAAAAAGGGCCTCTGCACCACTCACCATCTCCAAACACATTCTCCAAACCCTGTCGTGGCTCTATGTGCAGCTGGAAGACAAAAAGATTTATGCAACACCGTCCATCTTTACAGCCCACTGCAGTCAGCAAGAGAGCTGGAAGCTTATCATGGACAAAGGAGCACCCCACCACCCTCCAACTGCGCACAGCCTTACGGTCCTGCAGGCACGTGGAAGCCCATCACAGTCTGGAAGAAAGGCTCTCCACATCATGAACCATCCCCACACACTATCATAAATGTACATGGAGCTGGAAGCTAATCTACAGCCAAGAACAACACGGTTTCGGCACCATCCTCCACCTCCACACACCATTACAGTCTGGCACGCAGTTGGAAGCTCGACACAGGGGAGGGAAAAGGATCTCCGCACAACCCACCAACTCCAAACACCATCCACTCACATTCTCCCAATCCTATCATGGTCCTCCATGCAGCTGGAAGCTTGCTACAACCAAGCACAAATGCAGCACTACACCACCAAACATCTTACACACCCCACGCACCTTCTTTGTGCCCCATCATAAAACCTACGGGCAGCTGGAAGCTCCCCACAGCCAAGGACAAAGGGATTTCCACACCAGCTATCACATCTCTGTATTCCACCACCTCCACGCCTCACCAAGGGCCTACGGGCAGCTCGAAGCTCCCTGCAGCCACAAACAAAAGGAACCTCCCCATCACACCCCTCCAGCACCGTACCAGCGGCTAGAGAATCCCCACAGCCTTCAACAGAGGCACTTCCCCACCACGCACCTGAAGGATGTCGTCAAGCTCCCCAAAATCAAGTTTCTGATTCATCAACCCATTGGCTTGGTCTTCCAGTTTGTGCTGTTGATTTTGGTAACGTTTTGG